TCTTGTGTTGTTCCTGTGCAATTTGAGTGGTCATTGAGAGTTGGCACATGGTTAAAGCTGTAGGCCTAGCTTTCTGAAACTCTGCTTTTCAGCCTATTCTTCTCCGCAGCAGAGGCAGAGCAGCCTCAAGTGCAAAGAGCCCCACCTGTCTGTGAATGAACCTAGATATGGTCCTGTTTCTGGCCCTTTGACCACAAACCAGCCATTTCTTTCAGGACCTGTCTTTCCATCTGCACTGTGGGAAAACTGACCCCAGTCCTGTCCATCACAAGGGCAGCAGTAATGAAAGCTAGCAGAAACTACATTTACAGTATCTTATCAAAGTGATAAGGATCACTTTGTTTGATCATTAGCACCAGTTACACACATACATACATACAAACAGCAACAATAAAAAAGGAGGCACTGAGAGGTAAAATAAATTGCCTAAGGTCACAAAGCTTGTAAGAGGCAGAGTTGGAATTCACACCCAGACAATCTGACTCTTAGCCACAGCTCCTACCCACTATGTAATGCTAATGATTTATTTATAGAGCATCCAACAACGGTAGGTGCTTAATAATGGTAGTGGTTTTCAGTACCTTGTATAAGGAAATGCCAGTCCATTGCTTGTAGCCTGTCAGCCACTGGACCATGGACCTGATTGTGGGCTAGCTTCCTGGAGGACACCTTGCAGGTGTCCACCAGACATCCTATATCCCTTATTCTCTGCTAGGTTGTTGGTTCTTCCAGATGCAGTCGGAGTCTCTAAGTTGTCTTTCTCCCTGCCTGGCAGCTGCGGTGGGCAATGCAGAGCCACCGAAGGACGTTTTCTTTTGTTTCAGCTTTGATGCTGGGGATTTCGCATATCATTATGTTTGTGGCTAAGGACCTGCCATTATCTTCCCTGGGATTCTTACACAGTTTATGAATTTCCTGAAGGATCCTAGCTCTCTGGCTGCTTCTGCTTTCAGGATAGACTGCCCAACTGCCCTCTGCAAAAGATGGTGACTTCTTTTCCATCATAATTTCATAATTCTCATCTTGAATTGTGGGTCGTTCAGAGTTAGGAATCAGGAACCTGTTTAAGGTTTTTTTTTTTTTTTTTTAAATCTGTGTATATATGTGTTTGTGGCAGAGAATGTGCTAAGAACCTGAAAAGCGGCTTTCCACAAGAAATTTAAAATTTTAGTGCTTTTAGTTCTCAAATCCAAGGCCATTGTCTGTTGAAAAAGTCTGCATTTCCTGGCTTACTATCTTTCATTAAGGACCACCCATAATAATATCATTTCCCCAGCTAACTCTATTAGGGGGTAAACACTTAACTGCTTAATTCATTATTGCTGAGTCTGAGACGGTTACAGATGCCTTTGGAATATAAGCCCCCACATCTAATAAGGCACAGGCTCACGATGCGCTTGGAATATGGTGGGGAGAGACGGCTGAAATTTATTTTGTGAATAAAGCAATAAGCCACTAAGCAAAGCTAATATGTTTCAGCTCAGACAGAAAGACACGATCATTCAGTATTTATGTAGCAACCCATTCCTCAGTGGGACTGCAAGTTTCTACCATTAAAATTGTTGGAATTCTTCAGAGACTCACTGCATTAACTCATTTAAAAATATCACGGACTTAAAACAATCTGAATTATTGGATTTTCTCGCTGCTCCGTGGTAAGCATGTTTGCTGTGGCAATTTCCTTCTTGGTCAAAGGTGCAGGCTACCTCAGTTAGGAAAGCAGGAAAGTTCCATGCAGAATTTTTATTTGGAGGACCACTGGTCCTTAATAGCTGAAACAAAATCAGATCTAGATTTATATTTTCTTTTTAACTTTTAATTTTGACATAATTTCAGATTCCCAGGAATGTTGCAAGGAAAGTATAAAGAATAGCTGTTACTCTTCACCTAGAATCTGCAAATGTGAACATTTTACAAAATTTGCGTATCACTTTTTCTATATAGATAGGTAGATATTATTTTCATCTGTAGTGTATGAGTTAATCACATCCATGGTGTCTGTCCCTTTATTCCTAAGTACATTAGTGTTTTCTGAAAACAAGGATATTTTGTTACGTAGCCATAGTACAATGATCAAAATCAGGAAATTAACATTGATACAATACTGTTATCTAATCTATTTGCTTTATTCTAAGTTTGCCCTTGGCTCTAATTAATGCACTTTGTTGAAAAAACCCCCACTCATGTGTTTTAATCACTTGTTAAATCTCTTTAGCTTCCTTTAATCTGAAATAGTTCCTCAGTCTTTCTGTGTGCTTAATGTGACATTGATATTTTTGAAGGGAACAGGCTGTTTATTTTGTAGAATGTTCCCTCCATTTGGGGTTGTCTTATTTCTCCACATTTAGATTCGGATTATGCACTTTTGTTGAGAATATCACAGAAGTGGCATGTCCTTCTAGGTATATCATATCAGGAGGTACATGATGTCATTATGTCCTGTTGCTGCAAAGTCAGACATAAATGTTAAATAATCTTTTATTTTCCAGCCATGGTGATACACACCTGTAATCCTAGCTACTCAGGAGGCTGAGGCAAGAGGATTCCAGGTTTAAGGCCAGCCTGGGCAACTTAGTGAGACCCTGTCTCAGAATAAAAAAATAAAAAGGGCTGGGGATATAGTGATAGAGCACCCCTGGGTTCAGTCCCCAATACTGTAAACTAAACAATACAACCCAAACTTATAATAAAAAGCTTGGTTTGTTAAACATTGCTTGGAAGGGTTTCATACTCATTCTAGATTTTTTATTACAGGTCTTTTAAAAACAGACTCAAAGACAGGGAAGCTGTAAGCTTTACAGATGCTCACGGGAAAATATAGCCATTTAAAAAAATTGCAATGCGATAGTTATGAAATTTCCCTAAATTCATTTTGCAGAATGAGAGCTGTAATTTAAACGTGGAGTTATCAAGAGCTGAGATAAACCACGCATCACGTGCAATTTAATCTGGCAGGGAAACAGGCCACTCGGAATTGCTAACTAGGCCTAATTCATTACATCTTGGTGAGCCCTGTACATTTGGTCTTATGAGTCTTTCAACTCCTGCATTAATATATTTGCCCAGACCTCGAAGAAAATGTATGGGGATGGCAACAGAAATACCATATCCTTGTTTAAATCACAGTACATTTTTTAAACAGCTCAATGATTGCTCAGAAAGATCACACCTTCTTCTAAAGCATTTATGAAACAATTATTTACATTACATTAAAAACTTTAATTGCCTCGAAGCACGTGCTGCTAGACACAAATATTGGAAAATCATCAAAAATATCCATCATGATTCTCTCTCCTTTACAACTCTTCTAAACTTTATCTTTTTTATAACCTGCTGTATTGATCTATTGTCCCAGACCAAGAGTGATGTCAGAAGTCCAAGCTGGGTCATAAAAAGAGAATATAATTTCCATTTGCTGTCCATAAAACCAAATGTTTTGATCAGAGCAAAAGGAAAAAATGCCCCCCTTTTTGGGTAGAGGTGGTGGAGTAGTTGAGGAAGGGACGTTTAATGAAAGGAAGATGACCCCAAGGTCAGGGGAGATTTTTAAATGATTTGGTGATGGAGGGAGGTGAGAGTATCAGCTTCTCCTTGGAGGTGAGATTCTGGGAGGGAACTGGGAATCTCTGGCTTGCAAGGAAGCAAAAAGGGAGGGAAAAATGCAAAACAAGAAACCTGGTCACTCCTGTTGTTTAGAGTCGGAGGAATTGCAGGAGAACCAGAACCTTTCCCTAGAGGTCTAAAGACCCTCCCCCAAAAGACAGTTTTAATAAAGGGACTCCATGTTGCAAAGGACCTAGAGTCCCCAACTAGGCTAGGATAATAATAACGATAACAATAGCACAACCTCCATAACCATTAAGGATTCACAGCCCTCACAGCAGGGCTAGGGCCCCTCAACAAGATCATAACAATAATGATCGACAGCACGCTAGGGGACAAGGCTCTCCAGAGGGTTGGCTAAGAACCTCCTCCAATAATAATCACTACTGTAAAAGGGCCTCCCATTGCAGAGTTGTGAGGAGCTCTTATAATTGGACTGCAGATCCCCTAAGTAAAAACAATGATAGGAATCCCTGTTGTAAAGGACCTGACTCTCCCCTTCGCCCAGCTATGGAAAACACCCTCCCCCCCCCCCAATAATAATAACCACATAATGGCGTTAAGACTGCTTGCAGGAGGCGGTAACATTTCCCATGACTCAGTGGCGCCCCCGGGCGGCTCCCACCCGCCAGCCCGCTGGAGCGTCTACTTAACCCCAAGTTCAAACTGCGACCCCTTGGATCCTAAGCTTAGCTAGCGGAAGAGCAGCCCAAGGCACGTGTTGTCTGTGCTCCCATTGCAAAGGAAAAAAATGCCTTGCAAACTATTAACTTTTTTTTTTTAAGTATGAAATGCTGAGAGCAGGCGGGCAGGCAGGTGCGGGGGGAGTAGGCACCCCGCACGCCTGTTCCCCCTTCCGCAGCCCCCCTCCCCAAACTTCCCTTCGCATTGATCAGCACGTTACGTCAGTATTGATAAGTTTGCAAAAAGCCAAAGTCAAGTGCAATCGCGCGGCACACCGACCCCGGACTTGGGGGGGGGGGGGGATGCAGCGAGCGCTCCGCGGGCCGGGAGCCGGCTGCAGGCAGGGCAGCGGCGGCGCCGGCGCCTCCCGGAGAGGCTGCCTCTCCCCCACCCCTCCCCTTCCACCCCATCCCCGGCTGCCTCCCTGGGGCGGGCACCGAGCTCCCCGCCCGGCGCGCTCCGCCCGCGCCCTCCAGGGGTCGAGGGGGGCGCACGGCTCCGGGGCCCAGCGACGGCGGTGGCGGCAGCGGCGACACCGAGGGGCAGTGGGTGGCAGGAGGCCGGGGGTCGCCCGAGGGGCCCGGGGCGGCGGTGCGCGGGGCCCGGGCGGCCGCCGGCGGCCCCGGGGCTGGGGGGAGTCCAGCCCGGATATTGAGTGCAGCCATTGAGAAAAGCCAAACTCTTGTGTGTGCGCGTCTCGAATAGCCCCCAAGATGGCCGCCAATGTGGGATCGATGTTTCAATATTGGAAGCGATTTGATCTACGGCGACTCCAGGTTAGTGCGGGCAGCGCCGGCCGCGCGGCTGTGGGGAACCCGGGCGCGCCCTGGGCGCATTGGGGAGGTCCCCGGGCTGGCGGGCGGGCGCCCCGGGGCGGCGGGCGGCGGCTGCCGGGGCTCGCTAGGGCTCGGCTGCCCGCTGCCCATCGATAGGTATTAGGAATTGATCTCGCCGCTGCTCTTTGTTCGGTTCAATCATCGATTAGCCGCCGCGACCATGGAGAAGCGCTAGTGAGCCCGCGGCCGAGAGAGCGAGCCGGCGGACTAACGGCCGAACGAGGCGGGTGCTGCGGCCCCAGCTGGGGGCTGCGGGCGGGACCCCCAGCCGCCCCCAGCGCGCCGCACTTTGCGCGCCTCCCAACTTCGCGGCGCCGGGGGAGGCCGCGGAGCGCGCCGTGTGCCTGTCCGCGCCCGGCTGGGGCTCGGTGAGGGAGGGAGGGAGCTGGCGGGCAGGGAGGAGGAGGAGGAGAGAGGAGGAGGCAGCCTGGTTGGCGAGGAGGCGGCTTCGCGCCCCGCCGCCCGCCGGCACCTCCACCGCCGCGGCCGCCCTCCTGGCTGCGCAGCCCGGACGCGCCGCCAACCGGGGACCACGGCCGCCGCCACCGGACTGGCAGCCTGCGCTGCAGACCTCTTCTCGGGCCGGGCTCTCGGGGTTCGTCTTTGCTTCTTGCCTTTCCCCGCTTCTGTCCCCTTCCCAAGTCTAGGTACAAACGGGCGGTGTTGGGCCCAGGCGTGCGCAAGTTTGCGCTCCTGCCTTCCGGGCGGTGCAGAGCCGGGAGCAGTGCAGAGCAGGTGACTCCCGGCTCTTGGGCCCATGGGAACTTTTAAATGGGAGATTCCCTTGCCCTTTTCTGCCTGCTGCTTCTCCTCCCCGCCGCTCCCCTCTTTTCTCCGTTCTCCAGCCTCTTCTTTTTTCTTTCTTTCTTTCTTTCTCCTCCTCTCTTTTTACCTTTCCTTTCCTAGGACGATTCCCTCCAGAACCCCAGTAACCCTGTTCTCCTTCCTGTAAGGCTGTGTGGCTCCCCCAGATTTGGGGGTGTTTTCTGCCAGCCCTCCAGGAGCCTCTAGGGGCTAGGGGCATACCAGTACCCCACCTTGGAGGCACAGCTCCAGCTTCTGTTCTTTTCCGGGAGTGCCCAGAATGTCCCTGACAAGCCCCCCAAGCCCTGCAGTCTCAAAGTCGTGACCAGTGCAGGAGAATACGGGGGGCGGGGGGAATGGTGCGGATAACGGGGGGTGGGGGTGTGATTAGAATGTCCTGCCTTGGCCGTGACATTCGCAGAAGACGCGAGAGCATCAGTCTGGAGATAAAAAGGGACCCACTTTTTTTTTTTTTTTAAATCCGCCTGCAGATCTCGTTAAGTTTCTTCTGATAAGTGGCTCCAGCATCCCCCTCCTCCTGGCCGCTTCCCAGTCTCCCTCCTTCCTAACCCCCCACTCCTGGCTCCCCTCCTCCCCCAAAGCCTTGAGCTGGAGAGAAAATCGGGGCACTCAGGCATGCAGTTAATAACTGCGAGTGCCTTGCAATTCCAGGTCCTCACTGCTCGAGTTGGGGCTGCAGTTTGGTGGCCGGCTGAGATAGGCAGGGCTGTGAGCTGTGCTTGCTGGTTTAAAGGATACCAAAGTGGCCTTTCTAGAAGACTGGGGGTTGGGGGAGGGATGGATAGAGGAAGGGAGAGAGAGGGAGAGTGTTGGGCAGCCACATTGGGCTTGGCACCAAGGCCAATGGTAATCGCATTCCCTGCTAATGTTTGTAAATGAGACCCGGGCACGGCTGGGGGACAGCGTCTTTATTTATGATTGATGTTCTGTAACATAAGGAATGACAAGAACGTGGCAGACAAGAGGAGAGGAACCAGAAGGGCTGGCGAAAGCCCTTTGCAGGGTCCTATTGTTATTCTGGGCTGGAAAAAATTTCCGCGGTGAGATTTACAGCACTGGTATTTGCTCCCGGTTGGCCAGAATGTCAGTTAACACAATTTTCATTAGATAACTCGTTTTCAATCCAGAGAACTGGGGCTGTGGTGGGGGAGAGGCAGGGGCTCTCTACTGAGGGGTGGGTGCGGCACTTAGGGAGCTTATTTCTGAGCTGGGGTGCTTGAACCTCATTCTCTTCATTCTTTGCTCAGGGGTCTTTTGTGGAGCCATTGAGGTCACCCAAATCTTGATTTCAGCTGGACTCCCTCGCATCTGGGAACCCTTTGTTAGGGTTTTAGAAGATGCTGAGATGGTAAAGCTGATTTAAACTGGAAAGGATAGAGATGGGGGTTGTGGGGAGGCTTGTGCAGGTGATGGAGACACAGGGTGGCAAGACCTCTCCCCCTGCAGGGGTCTACGTGGAGGGAGTATTCATTACGACAATGGTTTTCTGTCTGCCAAAAAATATGAAGGCTTCTGGTGAGGGGGGGGTAGCTCATTTACATCGATATTAAGTGGAAGGGGTGTCCCCCAGGGAGTTTGAAAGGCTGCACACTTCTAGAGAACAGAGAAATAAATGTGGCAGCCGTGGCATGCAAACATTCAGGCCTGCACATCTGCCTACTCCCCACCCCCATCCTGAAATGTTCTGTTGTCCCCCTGCCCATTGGTGCAGCTCCCGGGTGCTCTCCCAGGTGGCATTTTTGTTGGAAACGGCTTATGAGCCTCAGCACTTTTGCCTGGGATCCTCTCTGATACATAATGCTAATGACTCCTACACATTTGTATTTTCATTTTTCCCTCCCTGTTTTTTTTCTTATAGGGGAAATAACCCAAACTTCTGCTGGCTCATAATGCAGGTAGGAAGGACTGGTTCCCACCCAGGGCCCTGTACAGGCTGAGAGATTTGGGCCCACTTATCTTGGGCCTGGCTGCCTGGGAAAAGGTGTGTGGTTTTCATTTTTGGTCGTTCAGCTTGGATGGTTTCTTGCAGCCTGGTTGCTGAAAGTAAAGTGGCTGAGGCAGCAAAGGTGGTCCCTTGTCCCCAAGCCAGACTGTGATGCTTAGTGCCACCCATCTTGGCAAGAAAGGTGACCTTAAGCCAGGCCAGCATGCAGCCCTCTGGAAGCACATATTTTTCAAATATGGAAGTGGTCCAGTTATTCCTCCTCCTAGGGCAGCTGAGCACAGCAGGATGTTTCCATCTGAGGGCGGTCAGTCAACAGCCTTAGGGTCTTATGAGCTTGTGGTAAAGGTGATGATCTGCCCCGTAGGCCCGCTCTTGAAACTGCCTCCGCCTTGTCTTCCTCTGTTTTTTCCCCCTTTGCTTCTAACAGCTCAGGAAACGAGAAGAAATAAACTTCCATCCAAAGATAATGCTGGGCATATTTCATTTGGTTATAAGATTGCTTTATGGTGAACATTACTAATGCAGTATTTTTTTATGGCTTTTCTGTGTATAATCGCCATAACCGGATTCATACCTTTATGGTTTTCTTTTTCTGCTTTCCTTTGCCACTTTTTTTAAAAAAATAAAATACGACACTCTGGGTTCAGTCTCGCAGACCCTCTTTTCCTTCTCCTTAGGAGAGGGTTCCTTAAGCTAATAAGAGTTTGGGGTCCCCTGTCCAGATGAGGACATGCGGTCCAGCTGTGCATCTGCATTTTTGGAGGTGGATAGAGCTTGGCTGCTGGGACCACACAGCCCAAGTTTTGGAGGAAAAGGTAAATTCTGCTTGTGGTGCCAGCAGTTAGGAGCAAGACCCATAGGACGAGCAAGAGAAGCTGTACCTGTCCAAGGGGTTTGCAGAAACTTCCAGGAGGGCACACTCTCTTGAGGCAGGGAAGTGAGATGGTGCTTGATGGAATGTTTTTCCCTGCTCAAAGTTTAGAAAAGAGCATGGATGTGATTAAAATATTATAACCTTATGATATTCTGAAGTGCATAAATTTTACATATCAGCCACAGAGAGTTTAGACATCCATTAGAGCCTCTGACAGCTTGACTTATCTAAATGTGCTATCATTTAACAATGTGTCAAAATTCCTCTTTCTATAGATGACAGCAGTAAATAAGCTATCAGCTCTGTTGGCGGAATCATAACTTTGAAAACTTTGAAGTAATAGAATTGCTGCTGGGGCAGGAGTCTGAGACAGCAGGAGCTTGAGACGGCAGGACCCAGCCTGGCCCAGCCCCATGAGGCTGGTGGCTGCCAGGGTCAGGGGAGATAGGGAGAGGAAGGACTGATGGGAGGGGGGCCTTCCGCAGCATCTCTGGGAATAAGAACAGACAAGTTGTTCAGATTCCTGGACACTTATTTTAAGTCCACCCAGGGAGTGACCCATTCCATCTGCCTGCTCTCTAGTTCTTCATGCCACACCCTGTGGGCTTTTTCTGCAGGAGCTAGAAACAGGTTTAAATCTTTATTTAAGTACCCAGCAGTCTTTTCTGGGCATCCCAAAATTCTGGTTTTTCAACTTGGCAGAAACTGCTTCCCAAAGATGGGCTCCCTGTGGGAGGCCAAGGGGAAAACCTGAGCAGCGTCTCATCCCACACCAGCTTTCCTTTTGGGGTTGTTGAAATTTCTTTTATTAATACCTGAATTCACTGGAGAAAATTGAGAAACTACAGACGACCCTGAAGAAGCACATGAGTATCTCAATAGCTTATTTCAGTGAACACGGGGCTGTTTTGACTAGAGGGAGCTGCATTTCTTGTGTTTTTTTTCCCCTATTTCTCCCTCCCCCTTTTAAAAAACTCTCCTTTTAAAAAGAATTCTGTCTTCGAACTTGACATTCTGTCATGGGAACCTTTCTTCTGGCAGATGGGATTTCAAACACGAGCACCTTAGCTGGTGCTAAATTTGGACCTGGTTGATGGTAGATGGGGCTGCCCAGAATCTGTGGTTCTCTAGGCTGCTGTCTAAGGGCTTGTTTTCTAGCTGCTTCCTGGTCCTCTCATCCAGAGGCCAGTACTGGCATAGGTGGAGTGTGGGAAGGGAATGGCCTTGATCTGCCTTTAATCCTGGCCTTGGGATTGGGGTCTGTTCTCCTTTGCCCTCAGGACGGGAGCTGATGCT